ACATCTGGTGAAAATTTCATGTCATTAGCTTCTCTAGTAATATATTTACTGAGAAAAATGTTGACGTGTTCAATACTTATTTTACCCGCTGTATCTCAGCCTCATGCGCCGCTGAAAATAACAGCACACACGCATACACACCAACACACCCACACACCTTTGCGAGTGGCAAACACATTTTTACACCCCACTATTACCCTTTTCTACCCCACTAGACAGTTTTCTCACTCATTCTCCATTTATAAAATAAATTTTCTGCATCTAAAAATCGTTTCTGAGGACAATCTGAGGATAATCTCACACGCTGGACACATTTACATCTATTTTACATATTTAAATGGAGGCGTGTCAGGGGAGGAGTCTAAGCGCTCAGTTCCACGTTCATTGGGATGTATAAAGGAAAGGTGCGCAGGAACTTGTGTGTGCACAGTTTTATTCATCTGAATATTTTGGTGCGGTGCACATTTCTAAATTTGTCCGTATTTCAACTTTTAGTGTGAAAGCTGCGCGTTGCTTTATGCACGAGGCCCCAGATCTTTGACTCGCTCCACCTACCCTCTCATGCAGCGTTGCTGACCCAGCGTCAGCCCTGGCCACGTTCATGGGTGAGATCAGAGTCCACTGGTTGGTGTCGGGGTCGAATCGTTCCGCAGACGAATGCGTCTGGAACTCGTCGCAGCCTCCCACGGCGTAAATGCGCCCACGCAGAGCCGCCACACTGGCCTGGCTCCGAGCCACGTGCATCGGGCCGACTTCCTGCCAGGTTTTGGTGGCGAGGTTGAACCTCTTCATGCTGCTGAAGTAGTGGTCACCATCAGAGCCTCCGATGTAGTAAATATTCCCACCCAGGTAGAGAGCACTGCAGAACTCAGGAAGGACCTTCTGAGTCTTGTACACGGTCACCCAGCTGTTGTTTCGGACGTTGTACAGCTCAATCTTATCTGTAGGAAGACTGTCCTCAATGCCTCCCACAGCCAGCAGGTACTGAGGAGGAAGACGGGTTCTGGTCAGCGGCTTCTCTGACTTGGACTCCCGAATGATCTTTATGTGACTGGTAAAGAGGTCCAGACACTGCAGGTTGTTCCTGACCAGTTTGTGTTTGCTCAGAGTGTCCAGCAGGTACTCGGAGGGCAGCAGGAGCAGACGGACCTGGAACAACAAAACAACTGACCTTACCTAAAGATGTCATCTGGAGCAGAGTATACCTGTAAGCCAGGCACTGTGATGACATTTTCAATTATTTTACAACTTTTTATCTGAAAGCCTCTATGCACTGATTCAAAACTGTTTAGTTTTTATAGTCAGACCACCCTTTCAGGATTTAAAGGTAGTTAAGTCCTCACACCATGAAAAGATTGCAGAGCCCCCAAGACGTAAAGCACACTAAAATTTATCAACAATTTTTCAAACCACAGCAGAAACAAACTAGATAAAACATTTAGATCGATTTTGAGATACGATACGATACGATACGATATGATGGGATACGATACGATACGATACGATACAAAACGATATGATACGATGCGATACGATACGATAGGATATGATACGATACAATAGGATACGATACGATAGGATACGATACGATACGATAGGATATGATACGATACAATAGGATACGATACGATAGGATACGATACGATACGATAGGATATGATACGATACGATACGATACGATACGATACGAAATGATACGATATGATATGATACGATACAATATGATAGGATAGGATAGGATACGAAAGGATACGATACAATAGGATAGGATATGATACGATACGATAGGATATGATACGATACGATACGATACGATACGATACGA